GTATCACTGATCCCAGGTATACATGGATTGATTCTTAAAATATTCCCCCTCTGTAGAGTAGGTAAATATTATTGTACATGCAGGGAAATTAAGACACAGAAATATTAGGATGTGCCCAGGGTCACATGCAAAGTCTGTGGAAGAGAAAGAAATAGGATCCTGATCTGACTAGCAACACTGACCTACACATGGGAATTGGATAATAGATATTACTGCGAAATAAATTATGCCATGGTATTTATTCTGGATAGGTGTGTGTGTGTGTGTGTGTGGACACTGTTCCCAAAACAAAAGTCACTCCTCAAAAGTCCCTTTATTCTGGAATTATTATTGTACCCAGCACTGACAAGAAAAAGGGTCATTTGGAAACTCTTCTGGAATAGCTTTGGCAGAATCTTTTATTCCAGGACAACTCCAGTCGGCTCTGGGGGTGCAGGTCTGTTCCCTACTAACCAGACCTCCTGTCTGCAGGAGAAAACAAAATGCAAAATTAAAATTTAAAAAAAAATTGGTTGCAAGTTTTTAAATGCTCAGGCTTCCTGCACCTTAGGGAGGGAAGGCCTGATCTTACACCCTTCAAGTCCTTGTTAACAATGACATACCTTCCCTTATGCAGAATTGGGCCCTATACAGGCAGGCAGGAAGTCAGCATGATTATCTCAATCAAAGAGAAAATCCAGGGCGCTGGGCTGCTGACCCTGGACAGGACTTCCACTTTACTTCTACTTATTCAGTCCTATTAAATAATCTATGTCCTCGCTTAGCATCAGCAGATAGGGAGGGAGACGCACACACGCACACAGATATTTTAATGGAAAAGTGCTTTGTACATTAATAAGGCTGGGTGTTCCTGAAGAAGTGATTTGTTTCCCGTTTTGGAAAGTGAAAGCACTGATTTTTTAATCCTTTGGATCACAGAATCACGGACAATGAGGGTTGGAAGGGACCTCAGGAGGTCACATCTAGTCCAAACCCCTGCTCAAAGCAGGACCAGCCCCAACTAGATCACCCCAGCTAAGTCTGCTAACTCCGAATCTAGCAAATGTTTTATAATTCCAATGGAACGATCCTCTCCGTACGCACAGAAATGTTAGAGAGGGAAAAACTACCCCAAGGTTTGACCTGCCTGGTAACTATCCCTGGCTGTTTTATGCCTCCTCTGTGGGTGCCAGCGGTGTCTTACGAAGTGCACTCACCGTTTCTGGGTGGGGGAGCAGGTAGCCCACAGAGCACAACTCTATCTGCGGCATCTTTTTGGACTCTACAGCCAGATTAGCAGCACAACCGAGGGTGACGTTCTCTCCTTGGTTTCAACAGAGTGTTAACATAGAAGCCTAAATATTTTCCTTACACACAAATGCTGGCACTGTTAACCGTTGCACTGCCATTCACCCAGAGACGCCGGATGGGCCTGCATAGATGCTGAAAGGAAAACTATGCGGGAGTCCTTTGCAGAGCCAACGGGTCATTTATGGCTTTATTTGTCAGCTCTCTCCCAACTTTCCCAGAGCACCGAGAATTCAAAGGCATGTGCGGATGGGTCCAGTATAAGTTTAAAAGCAAATCCCAGGACCAGTGCAATAAATGCACCATAATTATTTTAAGGGGATGATAGAGGGACCTTGGGGCTGAGATTGCCTTTCAGAAACAGCTTGTGCTGAGGAAAGGAGGCCCCTGGAGAGAAGCCAGTGTGCCCTGAGGCCTGTGAAAAATAAACGTGTTGGGGCAATGGCAGCAGCCCAGAGCCTCATTGAGCAGGGGCAGTTCATCTTTCGCTTTTACTGTTGCAAAGCATCTGGGCTTGGCTTTGCATCTCTTTTCTGCCAGGCAGCTTGGTGTAAATCAAAGCCAAGCACCTCGAGAAAGAGCTGCTGTTGGGGGAGGCAGATGGGTCAGGGTTACTTTTAGGTCAATGGGTGACCAGCAGTGCTAAGGCAGTGCTGCCAGGGGAAGCAGTGCTAGTGCCCAGGGCTCCCCTTCACCTGCCGCAGGGGCATGAACCCAGCTGGGACAAGCAAACGTCCCCCCAGGGTGGCAGGACAAGCCTCACCTGATCAGGCAATGCTGCTGGAATTTGGCCCCAAGCCCTGGCTGGGAATGGCACAGGGCCCCTTGCCCCCGAGGAAGACGCTCTCCAGTGCCAGCGGCAACTGGGCTTGATTGAAGGTGGTTTGGGTGCCCAGCAGAGATCGGGAGCTGGTTTTCATCCCAACAGGGCCAGTGCTCCCCACAGCCTGGCCACAGCCCCCGGGCAGGGAGAGGGGGTTTGGGACCTCCCCAGTCTGCTTGGCACCCCCACAGCTTCCGAGTCATCCCTTGTCTGCAAGACACGTGTGTGTGTGTGCGTGCACACGTGTGTGGGCCTAATACCCTGGGGGAGATAAGTGTGTGCGTGCACATGTGCATGTGTGCCTGCTTCACTGGGGGAAGTGTGTGTGTGTGTGTGCGCGCGCATGTGCCTGATATACTGGGGGAGCAAGGTGTGTGTGCACACATATGCATGTGCCGGATACACTGAGGGAGCTAGGTGTGTGTGTGCATGTGCCTGATATACTGGGGGAGCAAGGTGTGTGTGCATATATGTGTGTGCGCACACATATGCATGTGCCTGATTCACTGGGGGAGCCAGATGTGTGCATGTACATGTGTGTGCCTGATTAATTGTGGGAGCTAGGTGTGTGTGTATGTGTGTCTGATACACTGGGGGAGCTAGGGTGTGTAGGGTGGTGAGCGTGTGTGTCCCCGGGAGAGCCGGCTTCGCTGCAGGATGCGTGCCCCGGGCAAGTCCCCTTCCCAGCCGGGATGAGATGTGAGTGCGGGGAGGCTCCGATTAGAGGAGAAAACAAGTCCCCTTGGTGAAACAAGTGCCTTCAAGGGGCGGCTGTCGGTGAGCAGCTGCGGGGCTGCAAGGGGCGATGCTGCACCCCCGCAGCAGGAGAGCACGGCCCCACCGCAGCCCGGTTTCCCATTTACAAAATAAACCCCGGAGGCCGGGGTCGGGCCAGGCTGCACACTTGGGACGTGCAGCCGAGCAGGGGTGCTCCGGCTTGGGCAGAGCCGGGGCGGGAAAAGTTTCCCCGGAGCCTGCGAAAGCCCCCACGGACAGGAGAGGTCTGGGCCGGGTGGACGGGGCGGACAGACCCCCAGAGCCTGCTCCTTCGGGGCAGCGGAGCCGGAGCACATCGGTGGGTCGGAGCTGGAGGCGCTTGAAGCCTGTTTTCTTTTTGCACAGCAGCCCTCGCCGAGCGGGAGGGGCAGGGAAGAGCCCAGGAGTCACACCAGAAATTCCCTGGGTGCAAAACCGGCTCCTCCAGCCCGCGGGAGGCTGCAGGCGGGAGGCTTTGTTGGGTTGTTTTTTTCCTCCCCTTCCCAAAATGGGTGGGGAAAAAAAAACCCAACACCCTGGTGCAGAAGCCCCGGCTCCTTGCGCTGCTCAACCCCAAAAGCAGGAGAGCAAGAGGGGCCGGGGAAAGGCTCCCGGAGCCGCGTCCCTGTTGCAGCGAGAAGCCGAGCGCACTGCCCTGGAAATTTAAAACAAAACAAAAAGTTGGAAACTTTGAGTCGTGCCCTGAGCACTGGAGGGCAGCCAGGGTCCCCACCCCCCTCGAGCGCGATAGAAGCGATTTATGCCAGAAGTTGAGGTTTCGAGACTTTTTAATGCCATGAAATACAAAGCGGGAACGCACTAGGGGTAGGGATGGGACCAGGGAGAAATACCCCCGGCCTCTTGTCAAGACAAAAAAAGTCCAATAAAAATACTAGTTAAACTCAAGGGAAGGGCGACGTGATTTATTTCCCCTCGGGACGCCGGCAACTATTCATTTTTAATAAGGTCTAATTAAGGGTTTCCCGGCGGCTCCCTCTCCTGCTATTTCGCATCAACCCTTGGTGAACAAACACATCCAAAGCGAGGACCGGCCCCTGCCCCCGGGAAGCAGGATCTCTCCCGGCTCGGGGTGCAACAAGTGGCTGATCCGAGCAGGGCAGGAACAACGAGGGGGCGAGCGGGAGGGCCCCGAGCCGCCCCGTCGGTGCCGGGGGCAGAGGGAGATGCCCCGGGGTGGAAACTGACCATTCCCCAGCAAAGGGCCGTCCCGGAGCCTCTCTCCACGCAGCAGCAAAAAGTTGGAGAAGTGGGGAAAAAATAAAAATAAAATAATAATAATAATAATAAAAAAAAAAAGACTGCTCCGTCTGTCCCCAAACCAGATCTCCGCCTCCCTCGCAGCCCCCTCCAGGCACCAGCTCGGGGCCCGGAGAAAGGAGGACACTGGTCTTTGTCTCAAGTCAAAACAACATCGAGCCCTCACGCAAAAAAAAAAAAAAAAAAAAAAAAAAAAAAAAAAAAAAAAAAAAAAAAAAAAAAAAGATAAAATTAAATAAAAATACAGACACCGTCGAAGCACATAAAACAAAACGAGACCCGACCACGGATACCCCCCTCTTCCCCCGGTACAAACCGCCAAGAGACGCTGGAGGAGCCTGTTACAAAATTTATTGATCTCTCTCGCTTGGGGGGCGAGGGGAAGGGGGAGCTCAAAAGAGAAAAGTCTTTTCAGAAACCCAAAAAAACAGACGAAACGAAAGCGTTTGCTTCTTGGGCTGATATGTCCGAACAAAATAATAATAATAATAATAAAAACAAAACAAAACAGGTTCACAGCAAAAAATCCACCAACCGATTTACAGAAGTTTTTTTTTTGTTTGTTTTTTTGTTTTTTTACACAATAAAAAGGAGGAGGACGACAAAATCCCAGGCACACACAAAACTTGCTATAAATAAAAAAAGCCTTGGCGCTCGCGACCCGCACAGATCTTCCCCCCGCCCCCCAACCTCCCCCGCCCTGCCCGCAACAAAAATCAATGTTATATATTTTTATATATATATATAAAAAAAAAACAAACCTAAAAAAAACAAAAAAAAAAGTTAAAGAGGAAGCTACACAGATTTGGGATCAAAGCCCCCCTAGCCCAGCCAGCCTGGAGGAGACGCAGCAGGGGAGAACCAAGCCATGTGTAAACATCGGAGCTGGGGGTCGAGGGTGAGACCCCCCGAGGGCACAAGAGACAAGGACCTGGGTGTTGGTTTTTTTTCGTTGAAAAATAAAATATTCATAGGAGACCCGGAGAAGGGGCAGAAGAGGCGCTGCGGGCAGCTCGCTGGGTCCCAGAGGAGGGTGGGACACACGTCTAAGGACGGGGTCTGCCCCCCGTCCCCGTCGGGACACCTTAGATGTGAGTCAGCGGCACCGTGCCGTTCACCCCAGTCCCGGCGCTCTGGTAGTGCTGGTGCACGCTGTGCAACCTGCTGCCTTGCAGGCTGGAAGGGTCTGTGGCGTCCCCCCCGGGCGGGAGATACATGCTGATCATATCCCGCAGGTCTCCCAGGCAGGCCCGCTGCGAGTGCGAGGCGATGGCGGGCGGCGGCGAGCTGGGCTCGGATTTCACCGCGGAGCCCATGGAGCCCAGGCTCATGGCCGTGCCGGGCTGCTGGCCGTAGGCGGCGGGGGACATGCTGTAGGTGGAAGCAGCGTTCATGTACGTCTGGGCCGTGGACATCATGGGGCTGTACTGCAGCGCGGGCACGTCGTAGCGGTGCATCTGCTGCAGCTGCGGGCTGCTCATGCCCGGGTGCTGGCTGTAGCCCAGCTGCTCGGGCATCAGCGAGTAGGCGCCGTTGCTCCAGCCGTTCATGTGCGCGTAGGTGTCCAGGCGCTGCCCCACGCCCACGGGGCTGCTCACCGCGCCGCCCGGCCCGGGGGCCAGCAGGTTGCCGGGCAGCGAGTACTTGTCCTTCTTGAGCAAGGTCTTGGTTTTCCTGCGGGGCCGGTATTTGTAATCCGGGTACTCCTTCATGTGCACGGCCCGCAGCCGCTTGGCCTCGTCGATGAAGGGCCGCTTCTCCGCGTCGCTCAGCAGCTTCCAGTCGGCGCCCAGGCGCTTGCTGATCTCCGAGTTGTGCATCTTGGGGTTCTCCTGGGCCATCTTGCGGCGCTGCCCGCGGGACCACACCATGAAGGCGTTCATGGGCCGCTTCACCCGGTCCTGCTCCGACGCCGCCCCGCTGCCTCCTCCTCCTCCTCCTCCACCGCCACCTCCTCCACCCTTGCTGCTGCCCGGAGGCGCTGCGTTGCTGCCCGGCCCTCCCC